CATGGTCGCACATTGGGTGCCAAACGCTGCCTCTGAATCCCTAAAAAAAAACAAGTTTGTTTCTATTTGTCTCGGTCCTCTTGGCCCCGGACACCTGGTCCCGCCACAGCTTTTCCCAATCTAAGTCTGCTCCAAATCGACCCTCCGAGCCTCCCATGGTCACACTTTCGGTGCCCACCCCTGCTTCCGGCTCGGTGAGGGCCTCAGGGAGCACGACCGCGACATTGTGAGCCACCGCCAGAGGGGTTCGTATGTTGCTGTAGCTTGCGGTTCCACTGATGCATGTGTTCGAGCAGCATGGAGCAGTGGCCGCGTCTGTTGCCTGCAGGTTCGTGCTGCGACGAAGAAGCGCAATAGGTTGCGGCTCCAGTGATGCATGTGTTCGAGCAGCATCGAGCAGTGGAAGCGTCTGTTGCCTGCAGGTTCGTGCTGAGACGAAGAAGCGCAAGGCTCCCGCACCTGTAATCCCTCGCGCGCTCCCCCTCCTTCAGCCGGGGTCGGCGGATATAAGTATTTGAACTGAAACCTGTAACACTTGCATTCCCACCTCGAAATCATAGCCGTTCCAGTATTTACCCACTCGTTGGTCATATCACCAAATATATTTATAGAAGTGCGAAGGCTTGTTCCTCTTGAGATCCTTGTCCAACTCCCACACACAGGCGCGAAAAGGTGCAAAGCACCCGGAGCGCTCTGAACTGCAAGCGCAAGCGCTAACCTAGGACTCGTATCAAGAAATATGCAACAGGTGCGCACGCACAGGTCTTGTTTACAGCTCTTGGCTTGTGAAATGGCTAAGGCTCAGGGATCCACAAAATCGTAAAAACAAATAAGACCAGAAAGCCCGAACCCACTAGCTGACATAAAGTCCATTGCTGGCGAATCATCCAACTCGAAAGATGCCACTCGGTGTTTGGGATCCTCCCGGAAGCACTTGGTCACTTCACCAGCTCCAGCGAAATACTCTAGCATGGTATAGTTCATGCTATCATCCATGTTGCTCGTCCAGAGCAACAGCAATACCTGGAAATAAGCCAACTCATTCGGCACTATCGTGCGGTTTTCAGAAACAGAACTTGCAAGAATATTGAAAGCTCTTTGGTCAAGATACGATAGCGAGTAGAACCTGGGCTCACATCCACAGAATAAAACAAACTTAAGGCTCCTTACAAAGTGTTTGAAACTTCAGAGTTAAGTCTCGGGCTTTTGGGGCTCCCATTTGGGCAAGATTTAGTACCAGGCGATCTTTTCGTGATACCGGCATTGCACCAAGTGTAGCTTTCTACATATATGAACCTTTCCCAAAAAGCTGCGGAAGCGGAGGGCCTCAGAAAGGAACCATGGGATAAACAATTGAAAAGCTAGAGATATATCCGGTATGAGTTGATCCTCAAGTGTGCATACACCACACTCACTCACCACGGTGCACAAGAGTTGTCAACATGCCGGCATGACTTGAAGACGCAAGTCTGGCGGCAAACCGTTCAAACGAAGGCATGGCTCTTCAGTACCTGGGGGGGTAGGTTCTGAGAAAAAACACACATTTGCACACCTCTCAAGAGTCACATGTGCTGTTTGCAGAGTGCCGTCCTTAAGAAGGTTTATGGTTTTGGCTTTTTCGTGTCTTGTCAGGGTCCACTGCGTGTCAACTAGCCTCACATACACCCAAACCCAAGAAAGAAATGCCACGTGGTGTGGCGACAAACCTGGCACTGTCAGGCCAAGTAGGTATGTGAATCTCAAACACACAGATCCCGACACTTCACTTGTCAAGGTCCCCGATCTATTTGCGGCTCTTGTCCAGGAAGTATCAGCTGGTAGCTGCATATGCCTACACAAAGATACATGCAGCAGATCTCAGACTCATAAGATAGAAACTGAGAAAGCATTCATGCATATATAAGTGAAAGACTATGTGCCTTGGATGCTGCTTCTTTGCACTCAGCCTGACTCTTGCCCTCAGCTTTTGCCTTGCGAAACGCATTGTGGTATGCGCTGCTCTTCCTGCTAGCTTTGGCTTTGGCCTCAGCGGACAAAGGTTTCCGCTTTGGCTTGGCTGAGCTCGAAGGGTCAATGTCCTTCTCATCAACATCCTCATCAGCGTCGGCCTTGGTCTTGCCTGACTTTGGGGCTTTCTTTGCCTGTGCTTTCCGTTTGCCCTGGCGCTGCCTGGGCTCAGCCTCAGTCTTATTCTTCTTTTCATCCTCGCCCTTGTCATCCTCTCTCCTGCTCCTCTTCGCCCTTGTCTTCTTGCTCTCAGAGTCATTTGTTGCCGCAGCATCATTCTTGCTTTCTGGGTTCTTCTTCCGCTGTCCCTTTGCACTGCTCTTCGAAGTGTCCACATCTTCCTCTGGTGTCTTACTATACTTTCTCTTGCGCTTCTCTTCATTCGGTTTGGGCTTGGAGACATTTGATGCACTAACTTCACTCTTGTCAATGTTGCTCTCAGTCTTCTTCCTTGAAGTTTTGCTTTTGCTTTTCACAGTCTTGGATTCGTCTTTATTCTTTGGCTTGCGACCCCGCTTCTTAGGGGGGCATTGTTGGTCCGGGTGGATGTAAGGCACTTTCCCCCAGCAGCCTGGCTTCTCATCTTCATCATGTTCCTCCTCCGGTTCCTCCTCCACTTCCTCCTCAGGTTCCTCCTGCGGTACTTCCTCCATTTCTGATGCAGATTCTTTTGGAGTCGAAATGCAAATGCGAAGTGGGAAGTGACACTCCTCAGGGATTTCCTCCAGACCATGCTTCTCAAAGTGAAAGATTTTGCCCTTGCCATGTGCGACAAAGTCCTCCCACTTCCGCCCTTCCATGCAGTCAGTGAGTTGTTCCAGCCAGCGCTTCGAGAAGTAGATCGTAGAGATGCAGTCCACGTCCGAGTCACCAGAAGAGCTGGGCTTTGAAGTATCCTTGTCTTTGTTTTTTTTCTTCATGACTGTCTTTCTCACAGGAGCAGAGTTCCTGGGAGCTTTGCTGTTGTCCTTGTTGCCTTTCCTTTTCGTTGATGAAGTCTCTGCCGAAGTCTTGCCCTCCAACGGTCGGACATC